TGAAATTAATATGTATTTATTAAACTGCCTCATTACACACTTCACTCCCTATCCAATCCAGAGGGAAAATAAAGCAGAAACCTACAAGGCCGGAGGACAAAAGCAGCCACAAACACTGGGCCTGATCCTGCAATATAATGGGTGAGGGGAGGGGGATTTATGCCCTCGCAAGCCGATGGGACCCACATTGTAGGGTTATGTCCGGGACCAGCAAAGAGCTCCCTCCGCTGTGCATCTTATTGTCAGCTTTTGGTTTCAGGGACTTTACAAGGTGGCAGGCAGTTTGTTTCCCTAACTCAGGGCAATATTTTCCTGCTGTTATCCTCAGAATAGCCCATGCCGGTACCGGTTGAACCTCTCCAGTCCAGCACCTTCAAGACCTGACTGGTGCCAACCAGGGAATTTGACAAACCCCAGGAGGTCATAGAGTCATAGAATCCTAGGGCTGGAAGAGACCTCAGGAGGTCCAACCTAGACCTCCCCCACTGTAACTTGAGACCATTGCTCCATGTTCTGCCATCTGTCACTTCTGAGAACAGCCTCTCTCCATCCTCTTTGGAACCTCCCTTCAAGAAGCTAAAGGCTGCTATCAAATCCCCTCCTCACTCTTCTTTTCTGCAGACTAAATAGACCTAGAAGGAGAGGCTGAGGAATTTAGGTTATGTGCTCCAGCCCTCTAATCTTTTGTTTGCCCTCCACTGGAAGAATTGGACGCAATACTCCAAGGCTGTGTCTAGACCGGGAAGTTTTTCTGCAAAAGCAGCTACTTTTGCGGAAACACTTGCCAGCTGTCTACACTGGCCGCTTGAATTTCCGCAAGAACACTGACGATCTCATGTAAGATTGTCAGTGTTCTTGCAGAAATGCTATGCTGCTCCCGTTCGGGCAAAAGCCAGTGTAGACAACGCGGTATTGTTTTGTGCAAAAAAGCCCCGATCGCGAAAATGGCGATCGGGGCTTTCTTGCGCAAAACCGCGTCTAGATTGGCACGGATGCTTTTCTGCAAAAAGTGCTTTTGCGGAAAAGCGTCCGTGCCAATCTAGACGCTCTTTTCCGCAAATGCTTTTAACGTAAAACTTTTCCGTTAAAAGCATTTGCGAAAAATCATGCCAATGTAGATGTAGCTCAAATGTGGCCTCACCAGTGCTGAATAAAGGGGAATAATCACTTCTCTAGTTCTGCTGGCAATGCTCCTCCTAATGCACCCTAGTATGCCATTAGCCTTCTTGACTACAAGGGCACACTGTTGACTCATATCCAGCTTCTCATCCACTGTAATCCCCAGGTCCTTTTCTGCTGAACTGCTACTTAGCCAGTCAGTCCCCAGCCTGTAGCAACGCTTGGGATTCTTCCAGCCCAAGTGCAGGACTCTGCACTTGTCCTTGTTGAACCTCATCAGATTTCTTCTGGCCCAATCCTCCAATTTGTCTAGGTCACTCTGGACCCTATCCCTACCCTCAAGTGTATCTACCTCTCCTCCTAGGTCAATATTATCCAGGAACATTACCAACACCACTGCTTCCTGGGCTCTTAGAAGACATTTAGGGATAAATTAGAGCTAAATAGCAGCACCGAACACTGAGAGCCAAGACCAGTGGCTATAAACAAACTTTATGGGACTGCAGGAAACTTAGCCACACCCATGATAACTGGACATCCAGCTAACTAATGCCATGCCAGAACACGGATGTTGCTGGACCAGAGAGTGCCGGACTACAGAGGTTCAACCTGTACAAAATAAATGTAAACAGAAAATGTGTGTGTGTGCAGGTTGGAATCACCAGACTTCCTGGAAATGCTGGCTTGAATCCAGTCAGCCGTCATTCTTCCAAGGTACATAACCTCCGTTCCTTGCATCTTTCAGTGTGAGACATGAGGAAGTTTCTCCTGAGACCTGAAAACCAAAGCTTTTGCAGAGAGATTAATGCTCTATGGCAATTCTGTAACAGGAACATTTCAGCTGGTAGCTTTGGCTAAAATTTCTCCTCCTATTGTGCAGGGTAGCAACTACCGCAGTACACTCCAGATGTGACTGCATTTTACTGCAGTTACGGTATGTATTTATGCCCTGATTTTGCCCTGGGATTTGTGCAGAGATAACGTCAATGGGACTCCACATGGATTCAGTTACAGGAATGGAGACATAATTTGCAAAGCTTAGATTCTCAAGGATAAAAGATAACATATTAATACTGGTTGTTTTCTATGAGTAAGGAAAAAGAACCAATAAATACATAAGGCAAAAACAGGGTGGTCTGGGGTTTCTTAATCCATCTCCATCAATTGTTATCTGGAGAGGAAGGTTTCCATTATATATATAAACTCACAGTATTTGAGGCAGACTGTTCAGACAGCTTAGAGTTTGATTCACCCATATGTACTAAAACTAGAGGAAAAATAGGCTTACATCAAAACGCTTGATTAAATCCCTGCAAACTTCGGAGGAGTTTGGACTTAGACCTGGATGTTGCAGTTAACGCACATATGGTATAGACATACCAGACATTTTATTTTACAGGACCTCAAGGGTACATCTACAGGCAGTCCCCGGGTTACATGGATCCGACTTACATCGGATCCCTACTTACAAACGGGGTGAGGCAACCCCGCACTAGCTACTTCCCCCCAGCAGACCAGGGAGACGCGGAGTGGCTTTTCTCAGCAGACACCTCAGCTTGAGAATAAAGGACTGAGGGAAGTGAGGTGTGGGAGAATAAAACTGAGCTCTGGAGAAATGTTTGGCTAGAGTTTCCCCTACAATATGTACCAGTTCCAACTTACATACAAATTCAACTTAAGAACAAACCTACCGTCCCTATCTTGTACGTAACCCAGGGACTGCCTGTATATTGCATGCTTCTTTCAATATGCTATTCTGGAATAGTTATTCCAAAATAGCATGTCTACACTACAGGGAAGCCTCAAAATTAGTCTGAGGCAGGCTTCCCTAATGTAGACGTGCTATCTCGATTCAGAGCCCCAGGAAGCACTGGGGAGAAATAACTTAGAATGTCCCTTAAAATGGCAAGGGGCTATTTCGAAATAGCAGCAGTGGAGCGTCTACACACACACCTTGTCTTGAAATAGCTATTTCAGGTTAGGCGTTATTCCTCATAGAATGAGGTTCACAGATTTCAGAATAAGCCGTCCGTTATTTCGACATTATTTTGAAATAACGGAATGGCTGCGTAGACACTCACATTGTTATTTCGAAATAATGCTAGTTGTCTTGAAATACCAGTGCAGTGTAGACGCACCCTAAATGTGCCTGTCCATAAAGCCTTCTATTAAAGATTGTGAGGCTTAATTGTGAAGGAGTGTGTTTCACATATGGAGAAACTGAGGCATAAAGAAACTAAGCAACTTGTCCAAGGTCATGCAGTGGCAGAACCAGAATCCAGATTCCCAGATCCTTAAATCGGTTCTTCAGCAACAAGACACCCATTCCGCTCCATCTATAACAAGAAAATGTGCACTCAGAGCCTTTCTTTACATGAAGGAGTGCATGGAGACATGGTGATAAATTCCAGAAATGAGGTGTTGTAGTATTTCTTAGGATACTTGGATCTAACTAGATTTGTCCAAGGGGGTTATCCCATGAGACCAGCAAATCTTTTCCCTTTCGCACACAGTCTACACGGCTTTTGCCATTCGTGTGTGCCTCACTGACTCCCAGCAGACAGTGAGGCGATGGTCTTTGGGGTGAATTTCCTTTGCTGTGACGCATTTCAATATCCATAAGAATCAATATCCATGAGATCAGCAGCAGCACCGTTCACACTTACCAGGGGGAGAGCTTGGAGAAGAATGGAGCCAGCGCAGAGTAAAAAAGAATCTAAAAGAGAAACAGTGTTACCCACCCCCCAAAAAAATCACCATCTGTTCCGCTGCTACTGCTGCTTTTTTAAAGTTTCTTCTATTTATTCTGGAATTGAGGGGGAAAATGAGCAACACTGGAGTTATTTTTGTATGTTTTATGTGCAACAATGGGAGACTCGGAGGAAGAGACTGGGGCCAGACAATGGTGTTTGAGATAACAGGAAGGAATAATTTATAGGAAGATGGAAGGGAAATAAGAGCTTGGGAACAGGGGTTATTTCTGGTACTAGCAACAAAGCCTTTGTTTTATAGGGTTAAATTCTCTCCTCTACATGCGTCAATGAACTCAATAATGCAGCATCAGTTGAAGCATTATAGAGATGAGGCACAGGTAACCGTAGTAATGGGCATACTGTAGTGTAGTCTCTAGGAATATGTCTGTTGAAGTCAGTAGGCTTTAGATCAAGCCTATACATTTGGGCTACGTCTACACTGGCATGATTTTCCGGAAATGCTTTTAACAGAAAAGTTTTCCGTTAAAAGCATTTTCGGAAAAATCGCGTCTAGATTGGCAGAATGCTTTTCCGCAAAAGCACTTTTCCGCAAAAGCACTAACTCTTGCGGCCCCGGGCAGGCTCCTGGGAGCTGCCAGCCTGGTCCCGGGAAGAGGCGGAGGGCTGGGTGGCAGCGGGTGGCTGGCTCGTGCCGTGCCAGGTGCAGGGTCTGCTGGCTGTGTGCTGGCAGGCTTGCACCTGGCATGGGCACCATAGCCAGACCGTGCCCCTTTAAGGGCTCCGGGGCCGGGAGAGGGGCAGCCAAGTTTCCCTGGTTGTGCCCAGAGTGGCCACCAGGGCAAGCTGGGGAGGGCTAGCCTCCCCCTAGTT